TTGGGTGAGGGGCAGGTACAGCAAGAAAACCAAACTCTGGAACGGTTCCCGGCAACAAATCATTTCCTTATTCTCTCCTGCCACTGTTTTCATATGCATCAGGACACCAGCATTAAGCATGGATGAAATTGTGCTGGAGGTGACATGATGCGTGTTCAACCCTCACAGCAGGCTACGACTCGCTTCCTGGCTACTGTGGAGCATAACATCCAAGTCATGTTGAGTCATTCATTACATTCAAGTCATGTTGCATTAGCTGCCAGGCTAAGCTCAAGATGCTGGCTTTGGTGTACTAAGCCCCATACAGCTTGAGACCAGGATACCTGAAAGTTGATCTCAGCCCTTATATACCCCATCGATCACTGGACTCTGCAGGTGAGGACCTCCTGCAAATGACATTTCACCAGGAGCTCCATTCCTGATCAATATAGGAACCAGACCTTTAGCACTGTGGCACTTTCCCTTTGGCATTCCCCCCTCCCTTGAATATAAGACTGTCGGTTGTCGTTTCCGCTGCCTTTTCTCTACTGTTGCCTACTGAAGACCATACTTCTTCAAGAAATCAAGAGGGTTCCCAGTTTGCATCTGCATTGGAATTGTTCTTAAGATACTTTAGAGATGTTTATATTGTTTTTATTATGTAGGGCTGCTTCCCTGGGTTCCTTTGGGAGGAAGGGAAAGATATCTCTGCTGCTCCAGAGAAGAGGACATGGAGCAATGGATCCAAACTACAAGAAAGAAGATTCCACCTAAACATTAGGAAGAACTTCCTGACAGTAAGAGCTGTTCGACAGTGGAATTTGCTGCCAAGGAGTGGAGTCCTTGTGGTGGAGTCTCCTTCTTTGGAGGTCTTTAAGCAGAGGCTTGACAACCATATGTCAGGAGTGCTCTGATGGTGTTTCCTGCTTGGCAGGGGGTTGGACTCGATGGCCCTTGTGGTCTCTTCCAACTCTATGATTCTATGATTCTATATAAATTTAATAAAGTAAACAAAAGAAAGAAAGAAGTAGACCACTCGCAACACCTCTGTAGACTTCAGTCCACCTCTTGAAGCTCTGGGGCAAAGGTACGAGTCACACCAGCCCACCTTTGGCCCGGGGCTGGCCCTGTGCACAACTTGCATCTGGCTGGGAATGTTGCTTAGGAGTGAAAGGAAGGAGAAAAAGTGTCCTACCCATTACCAGGCCTGGTTGGCAGTTGCTCTGTTATACTGCCCATGCCTGGATTTGACCTAGGAATGGCTGAATTACACTATCTGGGTTTCTCATGTTTCCAGTCTTCAGATGAGGTCTTCACATTTCAACATCTTCTTTGTGATCTTTGTTTTTTTAAAAGAAGACTTCGTGGACGTGCACCGGTTTCCCACCCAACTGTTTATAATCAATACAGAAGGATGCTATGCCAAGGATTCTGTTGGTTTTGTGATTTATTTATTTTAAAAATATTTTTATTAACAATTTCCGCACAACAGCTTATCAAAACATATCATTTTCATCATTTTCCCCCTCCCCCCCAACCCACCTTCCCCTCCCCCAAAGACTTCCCTCAGCTCCTCTCTCTGATTTCTCAACATGTATTATTCTCTGCATGTTATAAAATTATACGAATCCTTACATTATCTGTCTACCATGTTATCAATCAATAAATTTGTGGGTGTTTATTCAAAACCTGCCAAGGAGTCCAGTTCATTTTGTTGTCTTTTTAAATAATTTGTAAAAAGTTCCCATTCTTCTTTAAAGTCACAGTTGTTCTTATCGCGCAGTTTGTATGTCAATTGAGCCAGTTCTGCGTAGCTCATCAGTTTCTCTTCCCACTGTTCTTTTGTCAGGATTTCCTCAATCTTCCATTCTTGTGCTATCAAGACTCTTGCCACTGTTGCTGCATACATAAACGAAATCTTTATTTTCCTTGGCAGGTCTTGTCCTACAATCGCTAACAAAAATGCTTCTGGTTTTTTAACAAATGTCATTTTCTGTCGGTTTTGTGATTCTAAGGTGATTGCGGGGGACACACTGAATAATAAATTGTTCGAAGCACAAGTTCCATGGTTACTCTGGGTTCAAATCAGAATGTTTTGAAGTAATGTGACAGTAAATGAGACTGCAATGGGGATATGATCAAGTTTGGTTCTTTCAAGCAGAGACTATACTTTTACCCCACAGTTTCTACTGTAATATGCAGGGGCATAGGAAGTGGGTTGCGGTGGGTGCGATCGGCCCTGTGTGTCATGCCTGAGGGGGGTGACAAAATGGCACACTGCAGGGGGTGTCACTTATCACGGGGCCCAGCTAGTTTGCCCGAGCCCCGCATTTCTCCTTCGGAATGATGCGGTGGCTCTGGGCCCCGCGCTGCCCGAAACGTTAGCGTGAGGCTTGCGTCTGTCAGGCGGACTCTGTGGGCAGCTCACCACGCCACCACCCCTGGGCGGATTGCCGCTCCGCCCCCATGCACAGATCTCCCCACTCCGGGTGCCGGAGCAGCTAGCTATGCCCCTGGCAACATGAAACTGTAGCATTTTGAATAATATACCACTGTGTCGTGCTAAATGTAAATCACACCAGCAAGCATGTTGTTGTTGTTGTTTAGTTGTTTAGTCGTGTCCGACTCTTCGTGACCCCATAGACCAGAGCACGCCAGGCACTCCTGTCTTCCACTGCCTCCCGTAGTTTGGTCAAACTCATGCTGGTAGCTTTGAGAACACTGTCCCACCTTCTCATCCTCTGTCGTCCCCTTCTCCTTGTGCCCTCCATCTTTCCCAACATCAGGGTCTTTTCTCTTCTCATGAGGTGGCCAAAGTATTGGAGCCTCAGCTTCAGGATCTGTCCTTCCAGTGAGCACTCAGGGCTGATTTCCTTAAGAATGGAGAGGTTTGATCTTCTTGCAGTCCATGGGACTCTCAAGAGTCTCCTCCAGCACCATAATTCAAAAGCATCAATTCTTAGGTGATCAGCCTTCTTTATGGTCCAGCTCTCACTTCCATACATCACTACTGGACCAGCAAGCATAGTGTGACACAATGTGAGGCATCTGATCAAGATCTGTATTATGAGGCATCTGATCAAGATCTGCATCTTAAAATGAGCTTAAAATATATATTTGTAAATGTTTGTATCTCTCATGCCAGGGAGAAACCAGCTGAATACTCTGGCAGCTGTTTATCTTCCTGTTCAAGGGCCCCACTGATCTATAGCAGTATTTCAGGGTTGTAAAAGGAAATTACAGGCTGGGAGCAAAAGGTCACACTGACCATACAAATTACAGAATACAATCAAGCTGCAAAAACACAATTAAGAGCTGGTAAATAGTGAAATTTATTGTTTAACAGAAGACTCGAGCCATATTTTCATAAGGTTAAAGGGTAAATTGAAGAAGTTGCTTTTAGAAACAGCAGCTGGCTAGGGAAAGAGGCTTCTCTCCGAAGCTGCTTTGAAGCTTCAGAGAACTTAGAGAACTTAGCTTTTACTAAGTTCCTTTTACTTTGAAAAGGCCTTTCCTTCTAAAAATCTATCTATGTTATGTATGAAATATATTGGCTTAAATGTAATTATGCAAAGGATTTAGAAAGTAAGAAATGTTAGATTCTTATGTTAGATTCTTATTTCATAGATGGTGTGTGAGAAGGTGAACTCAAGATCTCTTTAAGATAAAAATTAAAAACCATGCACCATCTGCTTTAGCCATCTGGTTTGCAGTGAATAGGGCAACAGGGGCCAAAGGTTATCTGGTAATTAAGGTGCCTGGTCGAGGTAAATGTAAGATATATGGCTACTTGTCTGCCATTTATGGATAGAAGGAAATATAGCTCTTTGTCTCCCATAAAAGGTAATAGGAAATGGGTGTATCTTTTATGATTGGTTCTAGCAAACAACCAATAGGAATTTCAACCAGGCTGATTGGACAGAGGCAGCCAAAGGAGGAGCAAGGAGGCTGGGCTGAGGAAATATAAGTGCTGGCCATCAGGGCTGGAGTGGGCAGAGCTTTGGTATCCATATACCACTGTGTCTCTCATTTATTTGTCTGACAAATAAATTATTATTTTAATTTCTCTATTGCTGCGTTGAATATTTCATTCCAGCTAAGCGTTAACCACAAGCAGGGTGCTACAAATGGAAACTGGCATTGTACACTTTGTGACTCTCCCACCCTTGCTGGGTGTGTGTGTTTCTGTCCCCCCCATGATTCACTGCTCTGTATGCCAAAATACCTTCCAAAATTTCATTACATGAGGAAAACAGGTGTGTTGTTTTTTCCCGTGGATATGGTTAACAGGGAAATGAGCCCTACACTTCCACTAGATTCTGCTAGGTTTCCAGAAGTGGAATATACACCATGTGAAAGATAAGACATGAAAATAAAGGGTTAAGGAAGATGGAATGAATACAGCTTAAGTGACAGTCAAGGAAGCTGGACTTATACCTAGTCCATTTTCTGCTGATGCTTTTCATTCCTCTCTGCTATGTTTCAGCTGCTTTGACTACAAGAGTATAATCATCAGCAGGTCACACCCAGCACTTGCTAAGTCTAAGCTCAGCGCTTTAAATTTAAATCAGTAAAGGAAATTGTTGATACAGCAGAAGCTTGAAAATGAAAACTTCCATCACCTAAAAGGCTGTGCATTATTTAGAAGGAAAGGATATGTTGTACTTTAGTTTCTGTTTTTGTTTTAATTAGAGAGATGTGAAGATTTGGTTCTTGCACACTTCACGAAAGCGTTGAGCTAGAAATTTTTCAATGGCCAGCTTCTGAGACCAGCTGTTCTGATCTTAAGTGGAAAATCCTTGGCAGTTTCCATGAGCACCAGACATAACAGAGACTTCGCCCTTTCATTCTCCCACTGCCTCTCAGGGGAATGGTACTGTCTGGTCTCCTGTTTTTGTTCATAAACAAAGAAATCAATTGCATAAAACCTGCATAAGGTATTTTATATTTATAGATGCAAATTTAGAAATAAATTCTGGAATTTAAATAGAAATTCAATACACTGTGCCATATATTCCAGAGAGTTCAGTTGATTAGAGCGTGGTGCTCATAATGCCAAGGTTGCAGGTTCGATCCCTGCATGGGACAGCTGCATGTTCCTGCATTGCAGGGGGTTGGACTAGATGACCCTCAGGGTCCCTTCCAACTCTATGAATCTATGGTTCTGTAGTGGAGATGACACCAGGTGTCCTGTGTGCCCCATGTGCTTGCTAAGTCCACTGGCCAGGTGCTGATCACTGTTGGTGCACAACTTCAAGTTCCCTCTTAGTCTCCATTTTTGTGGTTCCTTATGTTTAACCCAGACTTGAACTGGACAACCCTCAAAATGTGGTGCCATCATTAGAGAGTTGGACTAAAACCTGGGAGACTGGGGTAACACACCCCTACTTGACCATGAAGCATGTTGGGTGTGGCCTTAGGCCAGTTACTGTCTCTCAGCCTGACCTGCCTCACAGGGTTGTTGCAAGGATAAAATGTGAAGAGGGAGAATCATGTACACCACCTCAGGGAGGAAAGGTGGGCTATAAACATATTTAAATAAATAAATAGAGGACTGTCCTCTATAAGGTAGGCCACATGCCCACCCTTGTGTGTGGTAATCTGTTAGGGGTCAGATTGTTAGGAGCGTCTTACTCTTGTGTAGGACCCTGGAAGAGACACATGCCTGGCTGGCATGTTCTCTCACTCCTAGTCTATCGTTCAGGAGCTTCAAAAGCTTGCTTCAACCCCAACATCTCAGCGACTGATGCCAAAAAGCATCAGCACATTCAGGGATCCGCAGAGTATTTGCAGTTTGCGTAACAGAACTCAATAGCGCAGCATTTTGGCTAATCTACTTTTATTTACATATAATACACTCAGAGCATTCTGACTTAGCTCCTTCCTCTTTCTCATCAGACAGCAAAAAGAGAGAAAGGACAATAGTCCCACTTTACGGAACACAGTAATACCAAAACATCCTGTCTCCATCACTTCCCACTCTGTGGAATGAAAAAATACACCACCATGTGATAGACAACATTCTCATGACTGCAAATATGGAGCAGGAATCCTAACATCATTGGTGGGCAGAGTGGATAGGTTTGCAGAAGTGGACCCACTTCTCTCTCTCTCTTTCTGGTACCCACTTTCCTCTCTCTCTACTACCACTTCCCCCTTTCTGTCTTCCTCCCTCCCTCTTCTCTCTCTCTCCCGTACCCACAGTATTTTTCAAGCAGGTAAGACTCTCTTCTGAGCAGTAGGAGAGATCAGTCTCCCATTGTTTCCTTCCTTCTCCACATCCTGTACAAGTAAGAGAAGATACAAGCTCCCACCACCACCCCGAAGCCCCTGGTCCTACCACAGGATGCAAGGGAGGAAAGTACTGGTTCCTGGTCTTCATGGAATGAAAAGCATTTTCTCCAAAAAGGAAAAACAGGTCATTTCCAAAAAGATGTTTCAGGTCATCTCAAGAAGGTTAATGTCTGTGTGGTCTCTGCAGATGGTCAGAGACATGCCCACACTTTTCTCTCTCATCTACAGTGGCAAATAGTATAATGGAAGTCTCTCTCTTTCCCCCTCTATCCTCTTAGCTCCTACATCTCTTAAGGGCATCCTAGGGCATCCCTTCTGTATACTCTACAAACAGTAAAGTACCAAAGTCATTCAGTGGCATCCTTTACAGCATTCAACACAAACAAGGTGAGGGTACGACACATTAGAATAAGGAGCAGTGTTCTTTCACAGCTGGTCAGGGTGGCAGTTAACCGCATTACCAGACAACACATCCATGGGAGGCTAAACAGAAACACCAGCAAGGTCCAACTGGGATGACTTTGCAAGCATTTGGAACAAGATGCTGGAGCATAATCAAAGCTCAGCAACAGGAAAGGTCATTTGTTACCAAGTTACCAAAATGATGTGGAAAATGTTCTGCAAAACAAGAGGAAGCATCAAGATAGTGAGCTAGAAAGGAGGATCCAATACTTCTTCTTTCTTCTTTGGCTGTAGGGATATCGCAGAGTGGGGCAGTGGGGTCCGGAGGGAGCACACTTCCCCGCCAGCAGGCAGCCACAGTCTGCCTGCACACGTGACCTTGGGGTGCAGGGGCAACCCCCCCCCCAGACAAGCCACAGATGTCTGTACATCGTTCCACCTCTGCCTGACCTTTCGCGATCTCAGCATTTTGCGGTGTCCTGTCTGTAACCCTTTTCCATGAGACGTTTGTCTCCATTCGTCATACACTGTGCAAGGGGACAGGGGCTGTGGAACAGGTGCCAAAATAACTTTGTACCACCCCACGATTTCGGGACGGAAGATGTGTAAAGGTCACAGCCCAAAAATGTATTTGCCTGGCTTGCATATTTGTCTCAATAAAAGGAGGCTCCACAGGAATGGTGGTAGTTAGCTCGCTCGCTTCAGACCACCTGTGCGCAGCTCACATCATGATCAACACCTGTCTTGGGCCTTCACTTCATTTGGCGATCACTCGTAGCCAAGTTAGATTGTCTTTCATAAACACGGTTTGAACAGTGAGTCTGTAAGTGACTGTGGAGGCCAATTCTGGATCCACACGTCCTTTCACAGTGGGGACATAGGTTCCCAGGCAGGAGTTGATCCTGTTGAGGGTTTGTCAAGTGTGCCTTCCTCTTAGTGCATTTCTCCTTTTCATCCTGAGTTTGAGTGTCTTCAAAGCCCATGACACCTTTGGTAAAGGCTGTTCTACATTTGGAGCGCCCGCAGGCCAGTGTTTCCCAATGTCGGTGTTTATACAACATTTTTTTAGATTTGCCTTGAGAGTCTTTAAACCTCTTTTGTTGACCAGCAGCATTACACTTTCCATTTTTAAGTTCAGAATACAGTAGTTGCTTTGGAAGATGACCATCAGGCATCCACTCAACATGACCAGTCCAACCCGATTGATGTTGTAGAATCATTGCTTCAACACTGGTGATCTTTGCTTCTTCCAGTACACTGGCATTAGTTCATCTGCCTTCCCAAGTCCCATGTGTAAAATTCTTTGGAGACACCATTGACAGAATCTTTCAAGGAGTTGGAGATGGCGTTTATAAGTGGTCCATGTTTCACAAGCATACAGTAAGGTTGGTAATACAATAGCTTTGTAAGCAAGCATTTTGGTTTCCCTGAGAATGTCCTGGTCCTCAAACACTCTGCACTTCAATCGGGAGAAAGCCGCAATCACAGAGCTCAGGCGGTGCTGGATTTCGGCATCAATGTCGGCCTTAGACAAAGGCTACTATATTCTACAGCAGGCTCTATCTGTCAATGGAAAAGCCAGTGATCCAGCACTTGTAAGTCAGGATGTACCTGCATATTCTCTCTGCAATGATGGGGTGGTGTTCCTTGCCTCTCTGACCCCTCTTTGTTCTTTCTCTTCCTTTCTTTTTCCCTCTGCAGTTTGGATGCCTGCAAACATCTGAACCTGTCTCAAGGGAAGCCAGGCACATCTGCTGAAATAGAGAATTGTGTTTGCTACACCCACCAAGTTCTGGAAGATTCCTCTGAGGACTACTTCCTCATCTATGATTCCATGTTCCCATTGCTATGGGATTGCCATTGCAAAATACTGCTTCTCTCCAGCAGTTATCTAAAGCAAGCATTAACCCAACATGAGCCCTCAAATCTGTGCCGTTGTCATTGCCAACGTGTTGACATGGCATTATCATAAAATGCTTCTGCGAAGCACAAATGCTGGCTGTGCCTTGATTGCCAGTGAAGAACACACCTTCCTCCTCCATTCTCTGTCAGTTTGCCTAAATGGAGCAGTAAACCCAATTCATTAACTGCAATGCAAATCGTTGCACAAACCCATCAGCCATGGTGATATCAGGAAAGTTGCAGAACCAGACCAGAATGAAATATTTAGTATAGTACAAAGCAGGGGGTTGGCAGCAAAAGGGAAACTTTTCAGCTTGACAATTTTGAATGTATATATCACTATAGCACAACTGAACAATTATGAAGATGGGAAGACAATGAGAGGAGGAGAAGGAGGGGAGTAGAGAGAGATTGCTACAAATAATTTAGCACTCAGTTGCTGAGCAAGTCTACTTTGGTGATGTCTAATTTTGGACCTTTATGAATGTCATTGTTGTTGCTTCTGATGGAGATTCTGGCATGCTGGTGGAGATACTGTTAAGTATAACCAGCATAATCCACAGGGAAATGAAAATGTTTGCATATTAATGAAGGTTCAAAATGGAAATTGGTTGAATGTGTATTGCTAACATTGGGGTTTTTCCACAGTAGTTTTCTAAGTGGTCTCCATATTTCCCTTGGAATTTGCTTTAAAAACCGAGAAAAGTTCTCATCAAAAGCCATCAATGTTTTAATGCAGATTTCTCATAATACAGATTTTTTGCATGCAGTTTTGCCCAACGTACACATTTCTGCATGCAGTGTTCCTTGACTTGATGCATTTTGTTTGGGGTATTCACTGATATATGCAGTCATATGTAAACTTTACCTTAGTAGACACATTTTTGTACACATTCCTTGGCTGGAGAACAAGACAGCAAATTTTGAAGGATGGTTTGTGTTTCTGTTCAGAAAGTGTGAATTATGGAGTCTCACCTTTAGAAACAAACTCAACAGAATTGCTTCCCATTCCTTATGTGTGTGTTTATGTGTCATGGTCTGGGGACAGGTGAGGCATATGCATTATTATCCTAGTGGTATTTGTGTTAGTTTGCAGACAGAGTGGAAGTGGGACTTTCTGTTGGTAAGAGTTGTTTGGCAGTGGAATGAATCTCCTTCCCTGGAGGTTTTTAAGCAGAGGTTGGGTGGCCATCTGTCATGGATGCTTTAGTTGAGATTCCTGCATTGCAGGGGGTTGGAATAGATGACCTTTGGATCCCTGCCAACTCTACAGTTCTATGATTCTATGATTCTAAGTGTGTTGACCAAGAGTTAATTAAACCTGGATTGGAGGGGACTTAGGTTCCGCTGGGTATAACAGTTTCTGAAATTCCCAGCTATGTTATTGGGCTCAAAAAAAGATTTTGCCGAGGTCAAAGAGTTAGATCGTTTGGAATGTTTTTGGTGAAAAGCCGCTATAAACCCCAAATTTCACTGAAAGAGGTGGTCTC